AACTATCCCTTCCTTGATTAGACCATCCTCTCTTATATATACCAGACTACCCTATATCTAGTAATCTCCCGACAATTCCTGAAGATTCGAGAGAACGAGTCACGTGACCTCGCTGACGCAACAGTACTTATCTGAAACTAGATAAAGAGTATCATGTTCTATAAGCCTAATGTTATATGAGTTTGAATTATTAATATAGTATGCTGATAGAGCTATATAAATAGACTGAAAATTATGTACTTAGTCTGTAAATAAGTAAATTTATATGATTACTCAAGCTGCATGAAGTGGCATTATGTACTGCGTCTGAAGTTAGATGATATGAAATAATATGCTTAGTTTTTGAATGGCAGAAGCGAAATTATGCATTGAAATAATTTGCATAGTTTTTGACTATTTGAAGTGAAATTACATATTGAAATAATTTACTTAGTTTTTGGCTAGCTGGAATGAAATTATGTATTGAAATGATTTGCATAGTTTTTACTAGCTAAAGTGAAAGTATGCATTGAAATAGTTTACATAGTTTTGGCTAGCTGAAATGAAATTATGTATTGAAATAATTAACTTAGTTTTTGGCTATGAAAAGTGAAACTATATATACATATGTATTATTTTTCTCTATATAACTCATTGAAGGATATTATACCTGGTTTAAATTCTGTAACATAATGGAGTTACCTACCTTTACTGGTGTATTTACATCCATCTATTTCACTATTAATTCCCCCTATAACATGATAAATCCAGTTAAATTCATTAAAATAGTAGATATAATTTGAGAATATGAAATACTTTCAAATTACAATAAAGAATTTGTGCTTTACATAAATACTGATATATTAAGTAATCAATGAATTTTTTGTTTATATCAATAGCGTACCAACTTTTCGGAACTTAAATGAAGAAACCATTTTCAAGATAGCTGATGTATTAGAAGAAGTAAGTAATACTGGAACTTTAACATAAGACAAAATACATTTTAAGGAAAATAAAAAAATAACTCAAATCCAGCCCTTATCAAATGTTTATCAACTCTTTTCTCAAACTTCCATAAATTTATTGCATCCACAACATCAGAAAATAACCCATTCCAAAGGCCAACCACCTTGTTAGAAAAATATAACTGTCTTAGTTGAAGATGACTCCTACCCTGCTAAAATTTATATTTGTGTTCCCTAGTTCTACCATTTTCACCATTAAGTACGAAAAAAGAGGTATTGGCACAATCAAAATGTTCTTCAAAATCTTAAATGCTTCCATCAGATCCCCTCCAGCTCTTTCTTTTTCAATTTCAGAGATCTTAACAGGTCTTCATATGACAACATTTTTTGATTTTTCAATGTTCTCCCTATGAAACTTAATTATGCTTAGTTACTTAGTTTTTCAAAAGACTTACGATAGTTTTCAGTATCTAGAATTTATAAAAATCACAATTAAGATTTATGAACCAAATAATTTTTATTTTTGATAGCTTTAGGAGCTTCAATTTGACTTTCTTATGTAAGAGATATTTTAGATAATGATCAGAAATCAAATGATTTACTGACTTGATTTATTTGTCTACAGATGACATACAACATGGGTGATTATATAA